GAGAAGTGAGTGGATGTGATGAGTGGGTGTGCCCTCAAGAGACGATGGGTATAAGGTCCATTAGCACCTACTAATTAAGAGAATATGGTAAGTTTCATTCAGTTGCTTGTATTCAGTGTTTACTGCTCAAGCCTTAGATTCTAATAGTTTCGCTCCACTGTTTGGTCTTGTTTCATAATCTCTTCCTATGAAAAGTTCTCAGTTTTCTTCCGATTCACCAGAGAGGTGTAGTATTTGGGAAAAATCCCGAAGCAAACTAAAGTGTATGTTAATACCGATTCTGAACGAGCCATGGTGAAATGAGATCAAAAGAACCCGATCGGATTCTGTCGAACAAATCGGTTATAGCGATCGGTATTCCCCTAATGTGGACGTTTTTACCAGTGACCGTAATACACCAAGATGCACGGTTCCTTGCCTACAATGTCATAAATGAACCGTTTGCCTTTCTAACAGGAATATTTTGAATCATCTGTTAAAACACATGAGTTTCCGGTCGTTCTATCGACCAGAGGATACTTTCCACAACACCACATTGTTTTTATGCTTTGATCCTCGTGTAATAAACATGAATTGGGAGCCAAAACAGTTTTATTGCACACATTTCATAGGCAAAATGCCTCGGTTAAAGTGAAATGTGGCAAGTGAATAGACCTTCACTTGATACTACTAAAAAGCGTGAAGATGAAAGGTGGTTATAGGGTGGATTTCATGGCAGATGCGGAGAAGACCCAAGCCCTACAGTCACCTAGATGATACAGAGTTGATATTCGCAAGCTTTTTTTCTCATTTATTCATTGCTTTTCTGCCAAGTTTTGAAGGAACATCCAGTTACATACAAAGAACCAGGAAACCACTCCACAAAAATCACGCTGCAAGTGAACTGGGTAACTCCCTGTCATACCTCAATTAAGAAGCTGATGTTACACGACAAACACTAAGGAGGACCACGCTTGATAAGACGGAAATCATCAGTCAGCATATCACTTTTGCAAACCGTCGAACTTATGGGTGGTTAGAAAATCTACTTGCATTACATCTGGCTGTCGGTATCCGAGAGAGGTCCACCTTCGAGTGACTGTTAGAAAATCGAACACGTAATAACGGAAACCGTGAGAACCTGTGACGCTTAGTATGTAACAGATGTTGAGCGGTGAAGGAATAAATCTATTTGAGAAGAACCATTGTGAACACCCTTGAGACAGTCACATGTTTTGCTACACTGCTAACATGCTGCACACGCTGCCAGTATCTACAGAGTAATAATCTCTCTGAAAATAACGACTGCGCATAGTACAGGTTGAGTGGTAGAACACGTCAGTGTCGCTAAGCGTTTACAATGGTCCTTCTCAAGTGATAAGCCGCCATAGGTATTTGTTTCCAACTACATCTCAATGCAATGGAATATGCACATTATGGAGGACTTCCTACTCTGGCATGGACACCTTGGCCTGGTCGCATGACCTACCCAGCTGGATCAATTCATAATAACTTGAATATTCACTTGAAAGGTGAGTTTTTGTCATTCATCTGCATCCAGTCTTTTCCGTGTGGATTCGGTTAATCCAGGCCGTGATTACAGAAACGTTCACTCATTTCTTGACAGTCGGCTGAGAAATCTCACTTTTCAAGCTGTCCTTGACCACCGAGCTTTCAGTCGTAGCGTCAACATTCCCAAGAGTCCTTAACGTACATTGATATCGGCCAATGTTTTATCAACTTCGTATAACAGAAATAAACAACGTACATAGTAAATACACTCATTTGAAACCTAATTTGGTTTTGCGAGAGACTCATCTGGAACCTGGCTGAATCTCTCGTTTGTGATGTTTCCAAGCAACTGAATGTGCTGCACCAGGCCGCATCATGTTTCAGTCGCTACGATATTCGAGATATCGCGATACATGCATATTCGCAATGCACTTCTCATAAGGTTGCTGAAAATTCGTCAACAACCCACGACCGGTTTCGCCCTTCTTGGGGCTCATCAGGTAGGCGCACTCTCCTAGTTTCTGTCAACCTTACGATCTACTTGAAACCAAATTTCACGAAATTGGCGTAATGCATTCATTTGCAAACTAAGTAGTGCATTACAAATATACATGTGCCGCGATATCGCGAATATCGTAGCAACTGAAGCATGAGGCGGCCTGGTGCAACACATTCAGTTGCCTGAGAACATCATAAACGAGAGATTCAGCTGGGTTCCAGGTGAGTCTATCGAAAGAACCAAATTAGTTTACAAATGAGTGTATATTCGCTAATGCCGTGCAATTTGGTTTCAAGTAGAACATAAGGTTGACGGAAACCCGGGGACTGCGCCTACCTAATGAGCCCCAAGAAGGGCTGCGGAAGAATTTTCAGTAACCTTATGAGCAGTGTATTACAAACATACATTGTACATGGTAATTATGAGTTTATCAGACTGCACTTGCATTTTCTGACACTTTACAACCAAGCGTTTATTCAGCAGAATACCCGGAATGTCTGAACGCTCCATGCTGTTGATCACAAAGCCCGGTCCTCGAACGCTTGTGAACCCGAAAGTCATAGTTGGACTCCAGCTGCCGGTACCAGGGATGTCCAGAATGATTCTTCCCACCGGGTTGATAGAATATATACAGCCTCAACATTTTAATCATTTATTTGCTTCCAAATTGTTGACAGAACTTCTTCTGTCAAAGCGTTCAGGGAAACTCATCAGGTCACGACAGATGCAGTCATAAAATTAAAATAAAAAACTTGATAGTAGTTGTATTTTGTGGAAAAGAAATGCTCTGACTTTTGGAATCCGTGCATCAGACGATATCAAAAATTTGCTTTAATAAAACATTTTGACAAGTTCCATTTGTTGAATGTACACTCTTATTATATGGTCATTTTATCATCTGAGATGAATTCAACGGAGAAGTTCAGATATTGCGGGATAAGATATGATTTTTCTTTACGTTTTTGTCCGTTTTTCTAATATGGGTTCAAAGTTTATAACTATGCAGCACGGTCTCATAGGTAATATAATGGGTGAAAGCATAGAAGGATATAAGACAGCTTGGAAAAAATCACTTCTGTTCGTACCATCTTACAATTCCAGACCGATCTTGCAATAAAACAAGGATATTGTAGTTTTTTGGAAGAATCACTTACTATTTCTTAGTAAATTAACCTTCCATCCAGACCAATCTCAAAAGCAAAATAAGTTCGAATTTTTGAGCAATCATCCAAATTTGTCTGTAAATCTTAGACAATTCGGTGAATACTGAAGAGTTACGATTTCTTCAACTGCACCTGGTTGTCCGCCATCCGCCCAAATAGTAAAAAAAATGTGGCGTCAAGCACACTTACATCAGAATTCCGCCTATATGATATGTCCGAATAATTTCAGAGTTTAATAGCAACAGATTTTGGGGAAATTAAACAAAAAAGTACAGTTAAAGCAACTGATTAGTTCTTGAGTGAAATTTCATCCCATAAGTAACGCTGACCAGCGCTGAAAGTCACGAGTGACTGTACACCTGTTTCATCCTTATTTAGAAACATCAGCAATGCGCTACGGCTAGTAGGTTGGGTACAGCCGTTCGGCTACGAGCATCTGATCGGTACTGTGATTAACTCAGGCTTAGGCACGACACAGTGAATAAAAGTAGTCGTTCAGCGGTAACAATATTCTGTTGCCTAGCTGCCATGTCACCCAAAAGAAGAATGAAGGCTGAAATACTTCTGAGTTTCCCAAGCCTAGACAGGAGCAGTGGAGATGCGAACGTTGGGTTCAAAGCACTTTAACGACTGAGCCATCTTGAGCCCAATAGTTGCCCAAAAAGAACAGTCAACAGTATTCCGACCATTGTGGTTGTCTTTACGCGATTATCTTGACCCTATAGTGGGGTCTCTTATAGTAGGTGTATCTTCCCCATGTGCGCTAAGTATTCAAACAGTAGGAACATTGAGGTAAACGAGATTCTATACGTAGTGATATGGTCAATGCATTCAAAAGCATGGTCTCAATGAGAACTTTGGTAGATGGCTCGAGCCTGGATAGTTTCGAAGACATTAAGGTCTGCTAAACTACTTCATACTATATGCACAAACAAAGCAAACATTTCAAAAACAGTGTCCGTACACGTGATGACCAGAGCAATGGATAAGTACACCGTCTTACCTGGACCGTTCCTTAAATGAACAAAATTGCTACTGTTTTCATGGCATCATTTGTAAATCCACAAACAATAGATGGAAGAACAAGATACCCCGTTGAGGATTCCACTATAATGAATAGTTTTTCATTGGAAAACATGCAAAGCTGAGAGAAACTCGCTGCCTTATGAAAGGAATGAACCAAATGTATGCTGTTACCCTACATACATACAGGAGGTTTAAAGTTTGTGAATACAAAAGCCAACGCTGTTTTTTGGTTTTGTGTTAAGCCAGTATCCTAACTAGAACTTTCGTTGGATATAAAGGAATTGTCAGGCAGAGGACCGTCTAGAACTGACACACTGAGGATCTCGATCAAAAGTGAGAACATCTACTGAGCAAATTGAAATTTGTCATTGAGTGTCGCAATGGAAGCATTGACTCTGTTCTGTTCTCACAATGAACCCGAATTTTGACTGATCTTCAGTGAACTCTATGCGGTTTTCAATCTTCCAGTTAACGTAACGGCGAAATTTTTTTCAACTTGACCGTATGAAAAGTTCTAACGCAGTACGAGAAACTACCTTCTCATTTTGAGACAAAAATCTGGAAGAAACTACTAAATGACGAAACCATGGAAATTCTAAGGCCATCTGATGGAAATTGTAGAATTATTCGGTGTGAAACGGAGGCCATCGGAATGTCCCTCACACAATGTTGTAGTTCGTTTATGGGGATGTTTCTTTTCCAGTTAGGTATGTCACCCCAAAACGCATAACGTTTCTCTTGAACTTACAAATGGTACTTTATAATTTTTATCATCATCAGTGTTTTTAAAACGATTTATCTGGTTATATGTTTAGCCATTATTCGACAGTCCCTATGGGAATATTACTGCATAGTAAGCCTTAAGGGGTGCTTTGACAGAGTTTTCATCCATTCCACAGCCTCCTTTCGCTACCTTCCAGCTTATCCGATTTGTGAAAGGAATATTACACCTTCCAGAAAGTATGGGCGAATCCTTTTCACATTCGGTTTGCGCTCAAACACAGAAGCCAGCTAGTTATCTGAGTTTTGAGTTTAAATTGGTTTTGCACTCATTCCCGCTGAAAAGTTATATAAGAGCTTACCACACAGATGTATCAGAGTTCTGATCACAAGGAAGAAAGGCTATGCAACTTTGATGAAATTTGTTGATGAAATTTCCGGACTAGTTGCTCAACGCTTTCACGGAAATTCTATCATTATTTGCAACTGTTGCGTGAACTTAATACGAGCTAAGATGAAAATGAAGTTCCAGTAGTCGTATTTAGACTGTATAACCCGCCGCCTTATCGGTATATGTTTTGATAACGTCTCTTGAAAGATCATCATGCTCAGACACTGAAGCTTCGTAGATGGATATCGATTTGTTTGCTAAGCTGGAGATTTCTCTGTTAATCAAAAAAATATCACTAACTCTTCGTTACTAGTGGATGAAAGCGTTTGTTCGAAAGTTAAGCCAAATTATCGAAGCACCTCTTCGCGCCTGGAAAATCCCCTTCAACACATCAGAGTACAGGCAATTTCAGGTTGGTCGGACAAATTAAGGTCAGTTTCTGTGTACTTTATTCCTTCACGAAAAACCTACGGTCAAGGCTGCTAGATTACAGTCATTCATAAGTTTCACGCATTTTACAAGAACTGGGTAACCAACAGAAACTTGATAATTATCAGCAAAGTATGAAAGGAAATTTTATCGAAACTCAGTTTTCAGGTCATTTTATACAGTGTTAGATGTAGCTTACAATGAAACTACACTCGTCCGTGGAAACATTAAATACGAAATTGTTCCATAAAGCACACACTTGTTTCTCCCGTGCATAAAATGAGGAATTTTGTTGTATTGTGCAAAAGTATTTGAAAGTCATATATATATATATATACTCCATTTTGTTCCAACACATTGGTTCGCCAGTTTTCCAGCATCCCAAGTGTCAGTGTGAGGTCAAATAATTGGCAGTTCAAGGACATATGTCACCTGATTTTTTTCCATAATTGTGCAAGCCAAATATACTTATGCATCAGCATTGATAGCATGCCTTGGGGGAGTAGCTGTCCTTTCGGTGAATCGTATTATTCACCAGTAAGGAACAATTTTGAACTATTTGCGTCGAATTACGTCATTTGGGTAATTATCGGCGTTCGAAATTTAGACTGTCCATCTCCATAACTAAATATAGTTGAGTGAATATCAGTTCACCAAGGTTACGGCTAAGGTTGTCGGTTTTTAACCAGCTGTAATGTCACATGTTGGACGCTCTTAGTTAATTCATTAAGAATAGCCCTAGTTGATCCTTGGTGTCTAGAAGGAGTAGAAGAAATTTCACATATTGCGTCCGCCTGTTCACTGTTCTAATGGGAAGGAATAATATGGAGTAATGGCTAGAAAAAGCTGACAAAAGTTGCTTGTTAGGTTGTAGTTTTGAAAGTGGCGCAACGTTTCTGAAACTTTACCGTTCTGACTGAATAAGTAAGAACAGTGTAGTGCGCTGATGCAAAGTTCCGTGGGCGTACCTCTGGAAGAGAAGATAGCACGCTTTTCCACACAAGTGAATGGCGATTTTTGAGGCATATGGAGAAGCTGGTGTATAAAGTCCCCTTTTCTCATAGGAGGAATACCGGATCTTGAGATGCTAGACGGCTGATTCAAGTGTTATGAACTCTTCGAATCAAACAATATCTACGATCCTAAAGAAAGGATTGGCCATGTTTGATCCAGCATTGTGGGTAACATGCTTGGTTAACGGACCGAAAATTGCTACAGGGCGCAAATACTTGTACATGTGCGACCATCTTCTTTGAAGGTCATTGATCTTGGTTGTGAGAACAATCAGTTGTTCCGCGTGCGAGTTCCCTGCACTTCTCTTCATTCAGTCCCAACCGAGCGTTATGTTCTTTAAATACTAGCCAGAAGGTCATAAGTCCAAGCCTGTTTAGTGATTCTTGAAACAAGAGCTGTCGGTGGTTATCAAGAAAGCTGAAGCAATAGTACGGGATTTCTGGGCGTTTCACTGGAGACAAAATTTATTTGCAGAACGAAATCCCAGCTGACGTTCGGAAACCCTCTTTTATCCTAGTAAGCATTTTAACAGTGTGAAAGTTACGTGAATGATACCGTTTATTCACTCGTCGTACGAGGAGAATTTGAGTTCTTGGGTGATATTGGGGAAAACTTGGGGAAAAAACTTTGTATCCTTTTAAATGTCTATGTGTTGAACCTTTAAATGATAGTTTAAGGACATCAGTTAATGGGAAACCGAGGCGGACAGGACGTTACCTACAGGTGACCAGCTAACCGGCAGTTCCTCATATACCTATTGAACCTTGTACTACCCACGGTAGCTCTGTAAATAGCAACTTTGCTTTGTATGGATGTGTCTTGGCTTCCGAAGTGGGAAATAATTTCGGCAGTAACACATGGCTTCCTCCTCATTAATGGGAAACCGAGGCGGACAGGACGTTACCTACAGGAGACCAGCTAACCGGCAGTTCCTCATATACCTATTGAACCTTGTACTACCCACGGTAGCTCTGTAAATAGCAACTTTGCTTTGTATGGATGTGTCTTGGCTTCCGAAGTGGGAAATAATTTCGGCAGTAACACATGGCATTCCTCCTCAGTGGAACATGCATCCCAAATAGATTAAGAACGGCCATTTTGCCAACAGGAGCGGAGCGGATTCATCAATGATCAAGTATTTGTAACAAACTCCTTAATAACTGGGGCAACAAAGTAAACTTCTTGACTGAACTGTCCATATGCTATATAGTACAGTCATTCTCTTTGAAGGGACGGACGGCAATATGTGCCGCACCTTCTCGGAGATCGTTCTTGGCTGACCTGGTTCCTGTTAAAGTAGACCACTTTCGTTACGTCCATTCTGGTTTGGTTTACCCATAACTGAAAGCCCCAAACGAAGTATATTACACTGCGTCACCAGAACACTTTCGGTCCTCTGAATAATTTCACATACATATTGTAAAATGTTTGTTCTTTAGGGTTGGACATGAAGTGGAACACAGGATGGAGGGCGATACGTAACCATCCATGTTTTGCATATGCAGTGATGCTTGAGTGTTTGGCTGACTGGTGTGCTGCTGAATCCTCAAATCGAAGAACGAACGAAAAATACCGACTCGGAAACAAGCCCCCCGTATCAACAAGTTCCAAGCGAAAAATGGCAGCCAACAGCGCACATAAGGCGAATCCATCTGTTGGTGCTGGGGCGGGACACCCGGTAGGCATCGACCTAGGTAGTTACTAACACAAGCGTTTACGGGAAGACCATCCTGGTACACCAACTGCAACAAGTCCTTGTTTATAAAGAAACCGAAAAAATTTCATTCGTATTACACATTCTTTGAGGTTTGGGTTGTAGCAAAAAAATTCATTCCACCAAGTGATCTTGAACACGAGGTCTCCTATCAACTAGATAACCCGAACAGTTCGGACGTTGGCTGCTTCGCTATCATATAAATTACTGGTTGGTATTGTCGTCGGACGGAGGGATTTCAGATAGCTGAGGTCTGGTCATCGAGTATTCAGAGAAATTTATGAAATAAGACTTAACAGCAATGTGAATGCCACCCATTTCGCACTCACATTATCCAACTAATCTGTAGAACTATGTATGATCGTCAATCGCATTCTGTTTTTTCTATTCAAGGAATCGTCTAAAGTAACAAACCAATTGCATGGAAGAATTCAGTCATTGTGGCAATATTTCATACATGCGACATACGCTTACGTCGTATGGAAAATCACGTGGTTGATGTACAAAAGTGCGTTGTAAATAAACGTTTGTAGTGGTGGGCAGTACGGACCGGTAAGAATCCTATCCGTTAGGAATAAGCGTTCTGCTTCTTCGTGCTTTTTTACTTGCGGATTGCCCACGTACCAGTCAATTTTGTGCTCGTTGAATAGTGTCGACCTAAACCTGTGAACGTGAAATATATAAGGCATCCGGTCACTAATGTACGAATTCTTATTCTGCTGGTTTTTAGCTGTGGTCTCTTACATAAGAAACATTGATCAGTAGTGAAAATGACGGTTCATTTAATGCATCTGATTGGAGAAAAATGGGGCTGGAATATTCGTCTATAGCGGCATAACTGAAGTGGTGTCAAGCGTGACTGTTATCGATCTGTTGTCACCAAATCCATTTTTCCATGTTTGATTCCCTACTAAGCCAATTTTTCACATGATCGGAACGTTCGACTGCCGGAGCACATTGATTATTTAATCATTCATCTCTCCTGAAACTCTCTGAAGAAACGGATGAATACCAAGCCATGCACTTGGATGCATGAATGGCGTAGTCGCACCTAGAGAAGTTGAGTCCACAGGACATTTTACCGTATTCGAGTGCATCAGTTGGGCTTAGCAGGAGTCGGTCAAGGGACCCTCTGTTTAACGGGGTCATCATGTTGCTAACAGGGCCAACTGTTCCTGAAGCCGTATGGCCAGGAATTCGGATAATGAGAGAATCTTTAGCTGGAGAGTTGCTATCATGTTCATATATATGCCAATCCTTCACCAGGGATCGGTTAAGGGAACAATACGTTAGGTTTATAAACTTCAGTTGCTTGACAGTTAAGTCAAATCAGCCAGGCTATTTAGCTGGACTAGCACGTTGCAGTGGAATATACAAGATACATGTAGAGCCATGTGATACCCTGCTGATATCCACAATTCAAGAAGAATATTCTGGAAAATGCACCAGAAGGGCCTATCGAGGGCGCCATTAGGTTTCGATGATGTGTACGGTTTTCTTCGTTTTTGGTGAAAATCTTGCAAGATCTTATCCCGAATTGTAGTGCCACCCAGAACTGAATAGGAGATTCAACAATGGTTGCAATCGATAAAAACTAGCCTGAGTACCATTTTATTTGCCGTTTTCGGGCAGAAAAACAAAAGGCACTAGAAGAATTGTGCCTTTATGTGGATTTTTGCAAGCCACTGCTGACTGATGAAATATGATATCGCGTTTTCTTGGCACGTGGGGATACACCCGTTTTTAATGGACAATCAAGAAAATCCCATGATTCCGCCTGATCTCTGTTCTCCACAGTGTAGCAGAAAACGTATATCGTGTAGTATCTAGTAATTCGTGTCTATCTTTTGTAATCTGCTGAACGAGACTTTGGCTAGTGAGCGATTCCTTTTAGGGAATGCACTTCCTTTGACCATGTGGGACTTTTGCGTATACCCCGCTTTAGTAAAATTCGATGTCTGGAAAGATGGGAGCTCTCGTTTTCCGTAAACGTGAGTGTAAACTTCAGACTTTTCCAGCCTTGCCGGATTTCGACACCCGGTCATGGTAGGCAAATTCTCGTGAATACTGGCCACACAAAATTTATAAGTTACGAGATTTGAGATTGAGCAAACGTTCATATTTTATGCGACCTACAGGTACACCCATCCAAACAGAACCTAGTGGTCTCAGATTTTGAAGCTGATGATATAGATTCTCCCAATGCGTGATGACTTCTATTGATTCGATGTGAGGCGCGTTAATCAAGATTTCAAAATAACAGACAGAGCCTTTTATTGTACGTTTTCTAGCACCACAACTAATAACCTCTTTGAACTTTTAATCGTACTAGTAGAAAGGTTTGCACCATCCTCATTTGAAATGTATCAGTCTTTTTCAGTCGGCCGGGCAGCTTCCTTGCAATAAATTAAATTCACCGCTTAGCTCAACCAACGCTTCTTGTGGAACCAGTTAGGCGAACACAAAATTGACGTACCACATTGCTGATAAACATAATGGAATAATACCTGGCCGTTCAACCCGGGTATTCCCGCAAGGATTATCCAAATTCGTCGGCAGGTCCTGACAAAGGAACACGGCAACGACGCATCCTCCTCGAACGTCAATTACGACTAATGTGAGGGGATTAAACGGAAGAACTTTTCGAAAGCTTATGAATAGCTTTATTGGATAAGCTTAGTAAGGATTATCGCCATGCATTGTTTACCTTGTCCACCACATGTATGTGTGTGCTTTCCGGTCCATCAACGATTACTTAAATCTAGACTTTTTCCGTTATTCAGAGATAAGAAAACCAGCAGCGCTTGCCAAAAATGACCAGATCAATGTGCGCATATCTCATATCTTAATCTATTTCTTCTGGAATTTGTCTGGTTTCATATTTATCCAGGAATTTCATTCAAAAAGCAAATGGCGAATTTTTCCGGCCTCTCAAACAGATCGCATCAGTAATAGGGTTTTGAAAATCAGAAAGTGAAATTTACCACTGTACTTGGTGAATAAGAATTGCTCTTTAACATTGATCGGTTGTACGACGATGTAGGAACTCATGGGGACATGCTTCTCAACCAGTGTACGCAAAACCTCCACCGGCTGCCCTGTAAGCAGAAAAAAGTTGATAGATCGACAGCCTCGTCAGGGAATTAGTTCAATGTGTGCTTATCAGGATGCTTGTTCCTGTGGAGCTGGATGAACAACGAGACTGTTACCTAAACGAATACCTGGATGCATTCCACTCTGGTTGGTAAAGGGTCTCATGCGGCACACAAACAGCTAGTAGATGCTGCCTGCTCCCTAAAATATATAAACGATTTTAGGCTGGATACCTAATATAGACGAAGTTGTCGCCACTAGCATCCATATGCTAGAGTTTTGTGTTCAAAAGCAATTTGTCTAGATACCGCGTTTAGTCTAGGATGAACACAACGATGCGGAAAATATGGGCCAACAAAGAGAATCAGTTCAAAATGACACTTGGTGAACCGGGTTTTAATGCGCCACAAATATACTTCCGATGATCCATATCCGCCTCAGCCAGCTGACCCCCGGGTCACGAGCATTTACGTCGATGGATTCGTTTTTACATTCTCTCCCATAAAGAGGCAAATAGGTCAGGCAAGTACTGACTGAGGATTTCACCTCAGTGCCCGAAGCTGGCTCATGTATCCAGAACAATAGCGCATGCAGATCTTCCAACCGTTGGACAGCAAAGAGTTCAAGAAAAAGACAAAACTCTGGTGGATAGCGAAACCTCAGATGTTGGACAGAGTGGAATTCCACCACCGAAGAATGTCCTGACCTATATAGTCCGAATTCGGTTGGTCGGCGAGTTAACTGTCAGTACAATAAATCAGGAAAGATAACACCTGGCTGGACTCCCGCAACATAGCCGCCGCAATTATCGAATGGAGTAAGTTGGGATACGAGAGCTGATTGAAGAGACAAATGTAATATATTCTCTCTAAGGTGTAAAAAGGCACCTAGGTCGGACAGACTGTACCTAGTTTATTTAAAGGCTCTGGTAGCCTACTTGAGAAAACGTATTCATACCATAAATACTGAAAAAAGATCTTCAAATGTAGGTACCTCAACATTTAAAAAAAGAGTATGCAAAGACCCGCTGTGAATCGTCGTGGTACCGGCCTGGTAACTGAAGCGTACAAATTTCTCTGTGGCTTGATCCTTTGTGAGTCAACTAAAATCACTTGGAGGCTGTACCTTGAAAATCGGAAAAATGACTCACCTTTCAAGGACAGTTTCCAGAACAATGACACTGATTTTAGCTACCAGCAGAAATCATAATTCTTGAACTATTCTTGTGGTCTTCAGAAACCTTTTCAGTGTCAATGGAGCAAGGTAGCCCTCGTTATTCTATGACACACTTGAAGGCACTGCACCCCAAATCCTTTGGGTGTCCGGGGGTCTCTGACAGACTCTCTCCTTGATGCATTAAATCCGGTGGTACGAGACAAGCTGCCCAGCTCCTGTTCTGCTCCGATTGGTCTCTGATTTCACAGGAAAAGTTTCTATCGAATTTTTGTACCTGTGAGTTCGAAATAGTCCATAAATGGTATGGTTCTCGTATCTGAACGCGATGAAATGCAAATCCATTAATTAATGAATCACCACTAGTCAATTAACACATTACGAAGATTTATATGTGTGTACATGACCATACGAATGAGTCAGCCTCACCATTTGGTGTACATTTCATATTTTTAAAAGGTAATGTTTTGAGACGATACTGGGTGGGATCAAACGTGGTCGAATAACTTAGGGGTCAGGCGGCGCCAAATTATTACAATACTAATAAGAAAGTTTCGGGCAATCCGTCTTTTTTGAATCTCGACACAAACCTACTAATCATTTTTGTAGTGTATAGCATCGGTAGGCAGTTCGCGCACATACTGCTTGGCAGCCATACAATTTCCAAAACTGTTCTAATGTTATAAGACAGTGAGCGTGACGTTGAGCATTTTATTATGTAAAATAAGATCACTTCATTTGCTCACGCCACAACACACCACTTACAAGTTTGCTGCAAACTTTGACGGCTCATTTTCGGTTTCGTCCTTCTTGGAAACTATCAAGCTTAGTCCACTAGTTTCCGTCAGCACAAAATGGGCGAATGTGGTGTCTAGTTATCGAGATTTCCACCAATCCTGTAGGCAGTCTCTTACGTCAGAAATATCCTTCGACGTATCGAACGTCGTATTATGTGAAAATTCAGGCATTCCCTGTGTAGCGTATTCAACTGAACATTCTACAAGATTCTCATTTGAGCTCACCGTCACCACAAATGTAATTTTTGCATGAATGAACTCAGTTCCTGTTTCATTGGTATTTCCTGCCTGAGTAGATAGACACCTAACAGGGTTGGAAATCAGTGCTGACCATTTTTCCGGTCTCTAGTTTCTCTCTAGCCGCAGCACAAAACTGGCTGTGCTTTGTGTATGTACTCACAACACCCAATAAAATTGTATCAGGTAAAAGTTCGGTTTTCGACTACTTTACATCAGCTGAGTAACCAAGAGGCCTATGCTTCTCTGAGCGTTATCAACACCCGAAATTTGCAGCTAATTTGGATAAGAAATTTAATGGGGAAAAACCCGTTGCCTTTATCCACATGAATATTCAACTACCACGCTGATTAGTATCTAACCCTGGAAACCGGTCCAAGTAAAAAGCTCCTAAAGTGATTTTCAAAAGCGCATTCTTAGCAGGTCACAGAATTGGTTGTTAGATAGGATTCAGGTAGACAACGTGACACTCCGTTCCTGCCCTTATAAACTAAATGGGCCGGACAATATCTGCCTGTTTGAATCATACGATGAGTCTATGTGTGCATAACCTGAATAGGCAAGCCGGTGAGACGATCTTAGCTCAGAATGACATTTTCAACCCTGTTACCGAGGCCAACAGATGAAATTGACCCAATAAGGTCTAGTTCGCGAATACTTTGCGTTCACTAGGTGGTCTACTTCATCCGCCTGTCTCATTTCTACACCCGAAACCCGGTGAACTTTTCTGAGAGGGAGCCTTCTTCCAAGCGCAATTCCTCAGTGGCGTCATTCAGCTGGAGGCTGATCGTTTGCCGGATTGGTTATTCTGATGGATTCGTGGAGTACAGCGTTTCAGTCCATTTACCACGGATTTTCCGTAGTATAGAATCTTTATATCAATCGTCTGTTACTGGCTGATAGAAAGTTGTTATAAACCCTCTGCGTTCTGTCAAAAAACCGGAGCAGGGGGAATATGCTTTAGCTGGGTGACCTTTCCGTGCAAACGGCTGTAATCAAACCTCGAGTCCAGCGTTTTCCCGTTCTGGTGTCAGCTCATCGGAATAATTGCGCCAGGACTGGAGTGGGACAGTTCAGTTGGATTGACGTGAACGTGTCTTCCACAAATCCCACAACCACCTACAAAATCGTTCTTGTCGGCTGTTATACTGGTGATGTTGTACAAAAGTTGTAGGCAACGGGAATGAGTCACTGAATGGATTCGCTTGGGTTCGCCCTTCACGCCTTCTTGCAGTCAAACTGTAGCTGAACTAGTGAGTAATTTTCAGACTGTTCACTCAGGCTCACTGAGATTCCAGTTGTCCGGTCCCAACACACTCGAGCAGTTCACTTGAACATATTATACAAAATGCACAAGGTAGCAAGCTTTCAGACAGATAATTTTAAAGCGTTTTAAATTATTGCAATAAATGTTAGTTGACTATGTAGAATAATTGAAAATTTCGGTTCAGACCAGTTGAGACACAGTTCTCGTCAATAAAAGTGCACTGATCCATTTTCACATGTTTGGGAAATTTTCACTTAAATGTCAGTTTCTGAATGAGAAAATGATCCCGATCCAAGTCATCATGGTTTACGTCAAGTCGATCTACCTTGCAGTTAGCCCTTTGTAGCACCATGAAGACCATGAACATGCGAGAAAAGTGATATTTGTATAACTGCAATCGATCGACTGTCGTCATTCTAGTTCAGTCTGCTGACATCCGATTGTATTTTTGAAGCGCTGAAGTTTTGGGGTGTTGCAGTGGAATAAACAGGCCATGGTGGTTCTACGTTTTCCTTAGAATGACCAACGCACAACGTGCGTGCGGACGACAGTCACGGTAACAACATGGTTACGCAGTTCGATACAGGCCCTGATGACAGTGACGTTGTCGCGGTCAGACCGAACAAAAAATGTGACTACGCTGCACGCGGTCCGTTGTGTACGATTTCGTGATAATTATTATTCGGTCCCATTCCACACAGTTGTGACCGGGAAAGTCGAGCTTACCGTAGAAATCGATCGTAGGACTAAGAATCGACAACTGTGAATGCTGGTTCCATGGTCCGTTTGCTACGCGGGTGCACTGCTTCAAATGTACGGTCTATCGCTTACAAAATAGGCACAGTGAGCTTATACATTCTAGTAGCAAGCTATGCACAAACGCTCAGACGTGCCATTTCAGATGCTCGGTAAACAATCGGTGGATTTATTGCTGGGCTACGCTTTGCTTTTAGCACAAAGCATCGCCGGCCCAAATGAATAAGTTATCAGCTTGACTGTGTTTGGAGGCAGACAGAACCGTGAGATTTCTTACAACTACCACGCTAAATCAGTGCTACGTGCTAATCAGAAGTTCCTGTTCGTTGTTAATTGTGAATGACTAACACTTATGACAAACACGTTTGGCGAAGAATGATGAAAATAAATATGAATTTTGGGACCTTGCTGCTCTCGTCTGGGACACTAATAGAATATTCACCTTGGGATCATTCACAGATTTTGCTGGCATGTGTTATGGGGATGCCAAAATAACTGAGTTTGAGTGCGGGGAGGGGGCGGGTTACTTAAGTCGTCTTGTGATTGGGTCTTCTACTCTAGACTCAAAGCACTTGACTGATTACCGCACGCCGTCACCTGTCCACTCGGCTGTCTAAAATCGCTCTTTAGACGCTTGCCAGTTCTCCGCTCTCTATCCTATCCATACATGGCAACGTCCACCACCTACGCGACCAGTTGTTGTGCTGCGAATTTTAGTCCTCTTCCTAAAACATACACGTTCTTCAAGTTTACTGTGTCTAGTAGATGCCTTCGTCTAGTCTTAATCCATCTACATTTCGTGATGGTTTTTCTGTGCACCACTTGTGCTCTCCGATTCTATTGTCCTAATCATTGGTTGTTTGACTCATGTAAGCCTTCATGCATTTGCTACTTTGTACCCAGTCCAATCATCCAGGAAGCGATCAGTACATTGATTACATCAGTACTGAGCATAAAATACTCCGTTTGAGAGTGCCACTCCGGAATCAACACCCTTCGATGACTTCAGACGTCGCTTTTTGCATGGGATTCTTTCATCGACCCACAATTTTTGAGTCTTACTGTTGGAGCTAATCCTCTTCTTATTTGGGACTTCACTAAACGACCTGGATATCCACAGCCTTGGAGTCTTTTTTTAACTACTTCTGGTCTATCATTTGGTCGATCTCCTCTATCCACAGCGCCCTTACTCGACTTAAAATTGCTAAAGTAATACCGCCACATACTACATTCAGATTTGCCGAAAAGCAGCTTAACTTCACACCAGTTTTTGGTAGCTCTTAATCTATCAACACTCTCTGGCCCACTCTAAGTGATTGCGACATCATCCACGACTCTCAGGGTGGCTAAATCGTCTCGCTCTGATGTGTTGGTCGTCCACACCAAACAACGAACAGGAATTTCTGACTTAAATCCAGCACTGATCAAATCAACTGGCTATGACAAATCACACTGACTGGTTTTTCGTTTTCCTTTGAAATCGGTCAAACTGACAACTCATTCACCTGGTCAAAAGCAAGACGTTGCCTAATAGGAAATCCATTGATGTCTTACCAAACCTGTCCCTCAATGGGTCTCAAACATCTTTCACTTGACTGGAGAAAAAAACCATCTTCTGTCTATTGATCTGTCGGTCATATATACTTTGCTTCAATACATGTGGGTATCAGAGTGTAGTTGCGCACAATTACGGTAGCCTTACCTCCAAAGACTGTTATGACAGTTGGTTCAATATACCTATTCGTTTTTCAATCCCAACTTTCCCTCCGGGACCATACCGGTTGCGCATCAAGCAAACGAGCGCATACGAACATTCCGGAGAAAGGATGCTTATGACGCACCGCTTAGACAGCAGACCAAATGTAAGAAACCTGTAATAATGAATGCCACATTCGCGAAAAAGTACTTGCGGGCCAGAAATAAGTATTTTGGTTCAACCAACAACAACGAACATCATCACATCACCAAAACGCTTCAAGAGACCCTCGCCCTGTTGAAATAGGCAAGTGAGTCATATTCTTTATGTTTGGCGATGCTAATTAGCTATTCATCCGAATGGAAAAGCCGTTGTGAAGTAAAGGCATGGTAACAAATTTCCCCCTAATATTGTGGCCAATAAACATTGGATTAGTGAGCACAATTCGACTGTGCAGTGACTATCTGGAAAGAGGTTTTATTTTAACTACTTTGCCGTTACATTGAAGAACTTCGGCCTTTTTAATTTTGGAGACTGTCCAAACCACAGGGAGAAAGTTCCCGGATGACTGGCCGCTAAGTATTCTTTAATGGACATCTAGTATGTCTCCTCACACACATTGTGGCGATGGAAAACAACAAGAGTTTGAACTTATTGTCTAATACAAACCGATGGGTTGTAGATTAGGGGGCCCATTGACCTGGCTTTCCGTTTTGCATGCAGATAGTTTGTCACAATTCATGGACATCATCAATCGCGCAACATTCGGATCACTCTGTTGGCTTTTTGCAGACAGCTGACGATTGAAAATGCTGAAAACTGTTGAGCCAGTCCACCCTTCCAGGGTTGTTGATAAATGCACAAGTTCTGGAGTTGAAAATGTGACCTGAACCGAATCCAACTATTTGATAATCAGCATGTCGTGTTATGAATAAAATTCGACGTCGTTCGTAGTTAAAGTCTTCCTGGGTGCGGCTTGGGAAATATGATCTTTAGTAAATTAGGTTGGTGGCTTTGTTGGAGGCTCAGTTAAATCCCAGCTCAAACTATCCTTCACGCGATATGTCAGGACTATTAACCGCTTTTCTACTACTGTATGTATACTAACATGTCCTACAGACCTCAAAAGTTCAAGCTAAACTCGTTGACTAATGAAGGGCATGCAACTACTGAATGAGAAAAGTTTACTATATCGAATGCGACAACCACTAAAGTGGGGCGGAGCTTTCCTCAGTAGGTAACTAGTTATATAGGATGCTGAAACTACTCAGAGAGTGATAAGGCCACAACAAGTAAACTAGCAAACAAAACGTTACAACTGTGTGTGTAATGACGCGGATTGAAATATTTGCAGAGACTGATGGTGTTGTAGAATGGTTGAAAGTACAAATTTATAATGAGAAATAGCAATTTCAGACCACTTGCCTTTTAGGACGTTCAGTTAGCAGCTTCTTGGAAATGTTTGAATGCTTGCAGCCAAGTGATAGGCAAGCTACGACATCCCTTATAGATAGCGTATAATGGTGGATGATTTCAGGTTATTCTTGTCAGAACTAACCGGAATAAGTTGTATTAGCATCTGTTGTACGGTGAGTTATCCGTATGAATATTGTGTTGCATACGATAATCCAGATACGTGTTAGCGCTTTGGTGTTAGTTGAAAAGTAGCAAGCTTAGGCCCACCTTAAACTCAATTCAGACAGTATCAGTGTGTGGTTGAACCCCAAAAAGCTCAGCCACACGAGATCTGAGTGAACCAATACTCAGACCTGGAATCACTGCAAACTATGCTATGCAGGTAGTTCCTTGAAGTTCGGTAGCAGCAGTCTTGAGGACTCACCACAAAGAATAATTGTGACCTTGGTCAGTTTGTAATAACTGATGTTTACCTTCAGTCTGCATAGCGAAGCCCACTCACACAAATCGAGTTAAGGAAGTTTCAACTCCCAGTCATGTGGACGTAATTACCATCGTCATCGACGCATTCGACCCCAGCAAACTAAGAAAACGACCCGTAACCACCAATGAAGTAGGCCAACCAAGAGGAGCAAATCGGGGTGAACCAACCCACTGGCTCACTTCCCTGATAAACCCGAACCCAGTTCGGACTTGATTCGTTAGTCGAACCATTCGAACATTTAGGCGTGGTAGACAGCATGCATATGCACGTACCCAATTCACATTGATGTTCTGGCCTGCTCAGCTTCTCCATCCTTGCAGGAATTCAGCTACAGTGCACATCTTCATGGTCCGAAAAAATGTCTGATGAAACGGCTGTACGTTTCACTGTAACAGCTAATCAAGGACGAGCAAAATTTTCATGGTTATTATCAGTTGTTCGACTTGTCGATCAGACTTGAAGTATGCAACTAATTTCCGATGGTGGCAAACCATACGTTTCATCCTATAGTCTTTACGCATACTGTTGAAATCCCGTTGGACGTCGTCCATGCTGCTATCAAAACTACTGACTTTCTGGACAGCTTCTAGGAAATAATCAGCCCGTTATGGTAAGCGTTGGAAGCACGGTGAACAAGACTCTCTGGGAAATTCACACGGTCACATTAGGAACAACACCGTATGAACGGACGTAACCTTCTAGAACGTAAGCCTGGTTGTTCAATTTTGTCGGTCTCACTTCCAGATTTTCCCTCCATTTTGAATCTCATGAAAAATTAGAAACTGAAATTTTGCGTTGTGTTTTATTCATCACTACGAAGCCACACTGCTATATAATTGAATTAAAAAAGCCACTCCCAGTAACTACACCGGCCGTCTGTCATGAAGTATTCCTTGTTTACATACATTAGAACCCCAAGGAGCTATACTGAATAGCGCCCATGAAGAATCCCGAGCCTGTGGATAGGGATCTAACAGACACAGTCCGCTAAACCTGGAGTTTAGGACACGTGTGACAACCTGCTCCTAAAATGTTTGAATGTAATGGTGGCAGAACACCTTTATTTTGTGGTGAGGCTTTTGAGCTAAAGCCTCTGGTTGAAGGCCTTAACCGTTCTCATATCTAGTTGTAGTTTTGACATAACATGCAACCATGTATTGAGCAAACATATTCAACTTCATGTCACATCGGCCATCGTGTGGTGACAGAATACAGTCTCAACTGCTGACGCGGCCCAGCCTTCTACATTAGTCTACCTTACCTCTACTCCCACCCCATTTGATGAAAACTTTCCGACACAAATAGCTGTACTCACTTCATTCAGGCATCCACAGAAATGATCGATTGCATACACTACTCGCGTCTGCTCCTTCACTTTCGAGTAGCAGACGGCTTCTTTACTTTTATTGCAGCCTTCGATGTCCAGACAGTTTAGTTGGGCGTTAGTGTCTACATCTGTGCCCCTCAACCGGCCCCTTAGATTGAACCGTGTTCTGTGAGTAGCTCCCCCCTCAGTTAAAGTATTGATATGCCTTATTCTATTTAGAGGTAATCGGTCTGCCCAGCCAGATGTGTTTCTCCCAATGCCATCCAAAGGCAGTGGTGTCTTTATCTTTTTCCTTAACAGGTTTTTTTGAAACTATTTCGGGACAAGGACGCATTCCAGGAAATCCGTACAGAGAAAAGACAAGGGTGATTATTCCAACCATAGGGGTATCAGTCTGATACCCAGAACAACGCGGCTGCTGACTTCACTAATCTTGAGGCGTCTAACTCTGAAACATCAGAGACAAATCCGAGAACGTTAAGCGGCATTTCGTGAAAATTGGGGCACCCTGACCTATCTTCACCTCAGATGCCTCAGTAGGTTAAAAAACACAGAGCGGGTGTAGGTACCTAATTCTCGATCGTTTTCCATAGAAGAATATGGCGGATTATAACTTTCTTTCCACTCTTTAGTAGGCATTCCTGCTCAGGGATGTAGGACAGTTAACCATCATTATTTGATACTGGTGTATCGCTGTTGATTATATATATATGTATATATATATATATACATATATATATATATATATATATATATATATATATATATATATATATATATATAAGAAACCGCTACCTAAACTCCTAAACTTATCTGTTGTTATGTAAGCTCATTCGCAGCTGTCGGACATTTGGTGTAAATACGGAATAAACAAACGGGAAATTGTTTTGTCACTGGACTGATTCGAAAATATCACGGACGCAGAAGAACCATGTTATAGCGGTAGTGTTTAGTTTGGATTTGGGTTGTTTTGAATTCCTGGAATCCAAATGTGGGGCAACCCACATGTGGTATTAACCACACATGTGGAGAGTCCGAAGCACAAACAAGTACTTGTCATGGGGGAATATGCAGGCTGAATTCGCAAAGCATAAATTTGAATGTTTGAAATTACTGTTTCTATTTTTAGATCTGTGTGGGCTTTGTGTGCGCAAGCTGATATGTGCAGTTGGACAGGGTTGTGAGAAACGTTTTACGTTTCGCTGGAAGTAACTGGGAGTTGTTATTAATCTTAGTTTATTGTGACTTTGAATGAGGCTGCAACAAGACAGAAGTCGGTAAAATGTCTCTTTAGTACGGGATAGTTTTACTCAAAAATCGGTTTGGCCTTTGTCTTAAAGTCGATCGACTTAGCAATACCCGGCATAAATGAGGATTTTACGACGGTAAAATTACTTAATAACGCGCTCTCAACAGACTACCGGAGTTTGATCGCAATGCGGATGAGAACATGCACTGCTGAAAACCTCTAATGATGGAGGAACTCCTTTCAGTGTTTTTGCTCTTTCTTGTGGGCCAATAGGGACAGGTGAATGACCACTGGAACAAACGTATTTTGAACACAAACTCGACAGACTCTGAAGTCAAACAAATCTCCTACGGCAGACACCTTACAGAAGCTTAGCAATACCTCTTATCAACTGCATCGTGGCAGAGGTAATGAGAATCACTCAGAAGTTAAGAAGATGGCCACACATGATAACAGTACGTGCCAGTGCACACTGATTATCCATCATAGGTTGTATCTGAATGTGGTTCCTGCTGGGATGTCACTGATCGTCAACTCTAGTTGATTACGCCACTGAGAGCTTTCGTTTACTTTGTCACACCAGACACCTTGCACGTTTAGGTTAAGACACTTGAAGTGTGCGAAACCTTGTCAATCAAGTGCTTCAATCTATCGACGAAGCCAAGGTTACTGTGCACTTACTCGTTGCACTGCCTGAGTTCAGCTAAAGTGTAAGGCGGCTTCAGCATAACTGAGTACTGAACCCATGCAGTGTAAAACAAAATGCAGACGCCTACAACATTGACAAGGAGAGCTGTATTACTCTACTTTCAGTGAAAATTTCCCACCATCTACCAAAAAAAACTATAGAAGTTCTCTGGTAAGTCAATAAGGACATGTTTTTCAATAAATACGTGTTCATGAAAAAAAAACGTTTGAAAGCGTAGGGCCTTGTGAAGACAATGTTTGAGATGGGACACTCAAGCTATCAGCTCAGTTCAACTGTAAAAGTAGAAAGTGTCCAGATATGTGAGCTCTGCAAATACCACGGATCAACGGACATGGTTTCACACAGACGAATACATTTGATTTTCCACCTTAGCTGACAGCTTCGTGGAAGGCGCGAAAAGACCAGGATTGTTGAGTACTATGCTCCAAAGCCACCCATTTGAAGGCTCAAGTGGTCTCTCATGATAGTACTGCAGAAGCCCTCCTTGTCAAATGAAGCAAACTACCAAGTGACCTTGGCAACGTTCACAACACTTCCCATGCATGTTATTGCATTTGAACTCGGAATAATATAGAGGGTTGTTATCGACGACGACTGGAGACCGATTCCAGGTGTACTTGGTTGGCGAATAAGGTCAAGACTTTCCACGGTTGTTGAACTGTTCGCCGAGCTTGTTGTTGCCGATCGAGGTGGCATCGTCACTGTGGGGTTTGACGCACTCACGAATATCTGGCGAATATCTGGGTGGAACTATATCCAAGGCATGTAAACTGAAGGGTCAGATGTACACTGATTTCCTAGAAAACTCTTACGTTCATTTTCATGAAGGAAAATACTCACAAGGTTGGTGAAAACTCTTCGACAGCCCACGACCGATTTCGCCCTTCTTGGGACTCATCACGTAGGCGCAGTCAACAAGTTTCCGTCAACATTATGTTCTACTTGAACCCAAATTGGGTTGTTTAGGAGAAACACACCCATTTGCAAATCAGTTTGGTTTTCACGAGAGACAACTGAATCTCGTTTATGATGTTCTACAACTGAATGTGCTGCACACAGGCCGCCTCATGTTGCAGTTGGCACGATATTCGAGATATCACAGTATGTTTTCATGAAGGAAACTACTCACAAGGTTCATTGCTTACTGAGATTGGTTCCATATGCGATTCACATCCATACGACCTATTTCGTGTCCAAAATAGCTTTCTTTAATCCAATGGGAAAGCACTGATTATACCACGAGCAGCAAGAAAAAGGTGACAAATTTATTTTGTATGGAACCGGTAAATTGCCCAGATGGGAATGGTCTTTTTTTAACGAAGAACTGGCACACTCAAAGATGAGTAACTGGCGAACTTCACCGTACAGAGCACGCCGATAGAAATGAACCTCGAGGAAGCTTGGACAACCTTGTTGCAGATATTTTGTGACCAAGCTTCCCTGCTCAACGCTCGCTATCAGTAGTTGACTAGTTGACCGTGTGTGTGGACGGTACGGTTGACTATCGAGTCAGATCCTTCTGTATAGACTGCAATCTAGATAAGAACATGGAACGAAATAGATCAACGCCTAGATATCACTCTGCAGACTGTCGCAACCATGCCTACGACTGTTACCCCGTTGGCATGCCGACACAGTGACCATACAACGATCGGCATTGACTGGTAACGGCGACAGGATATGCGGGATCCGTAGCGGAAACGCTCCAGAGGACAAAGGTCAAGATGTAACACCCAATTCGAGACCATCGACCACACAACAATTACGCAAGTAATTGGATTTTGCCGGCATCTAATGGCAAGAAACCCATAGTCATAAAAAGTGCAGCCACAGAGTAATGAGGACCACAGTGGTGAACCGACTAAAGTTAACAAAAGCGTGGTTTACATCTATTGTCATGCATCAGCCAGCTGAAGGGAATTACAAATCTAAAAAACAAACCGTTCAACCTAAGCCGTATGCCCTCTCCTTCGTCAGAATGGCCCATCTCTGGAGCCCTCCAAAACGCTTTGTGTTCCCGTTTATGTGCTTTTTAAACTACATCCCTGTTTTTACACAGGGTCTCTGATCACAGGCTTTGTTACCGCTCTTATACACTTGTTAAAAAGAAAGGGAGGAGGGAAGTTAGTGATGTACCTTCATGACCGATTGAGCTATATAGGAGAGGGTACGGGTAACACAGACACAGAGTTCTCATACCAGATTGACCAATATGTACATATCTGACTAACACCGTCTCCTATTGCTTCACACTGGGAAGTGGAGCATGTGTGGAGACTCGCCCCTTAAAAAAGGTAGACGTTCAACTACAACAATATACACTGCAATGGCTTCCAATGCTTCGATATACCTCCCGGGCTTTTTAGCAACTGGAACGAACGTATCCTTGGCAGATGGTTTATTGCGGACAAACTGAACTGAATTAAAAATTTAGGCTACCCTGACTAGCAGTTAGACCTTTGAGCCAAAGGTTGCCTGCCTGATTTATTAGCCCCTATTTGGATGAAAGATACCGTCTCACTTAAACCGGGTGATTCGAAATAGTGGTCGGAATGAATGTGGCAACTACAGAAGAATTAGGCTGAGTCCTGTTATAAACAGACTTCTTGTACGCTTATTTTACGTAGGCGCACGAGGGCCCGCAAAGACGCGACCCGATACAGCAAGGAGGATTCCGACCGAGAAGGGTTATATGGGCCACACTCCGTCCATTCTTATGGCAGTAACATGCGCACTGGCGCCCAACAATCTTGATTTCTCTCGACTTAAAAAACACGTTCATTTCGGTCGACGGGTTCGCACACCACAATTGTACGAAGGAAGAGGCTCCCGAAGTTCATGAATATCATAGGTTTTCTGTATTTATCTACTTGAGGGTGAATGAGAGTGTGGTGTGGAATCGCCAAAAGCTCCCCAAAAGCCAGTGGAGTCCGGAAAGGGTATTCACTCCTTTCAGTTTTTCTGATTTCGACATTGGTGGAATGGTGAAGCAATTATCTTTGCAAGCAACACACCAGTAGTACATACTAGTGCTTAACTGCAATAATAATAAAACAAACTCTGAAGCGTTCTGATCTCTTCCAGAAAGGACCTTGTCGAGCCGGAATGTGCAGACCACACTGTCGTCATTTTGAAAGAGCCGGAAGAAGCACAAGCGTTACTAGGAGAACTGAGAAAGTTCATCCGTTACCCCGGCAATTGTTTTGCGCCCGTATATTTCAAAGCTATTTTGTGGAATGTAATCTTTGAAGGCGTCTCTGAGAATTTATGGAGTAACACTGAAAGCTGTGAAACACTATACAAAAATCTTCTGCCAGTGGTTTCAGAGCCGGAATTTCGTTTGTTAATTTGCGCCACTTGCATCATTAAAAGAGCAAATTATTGGGTGTCAAAAACGTGCACACTAGACTGCAGTGTGGGAACTGCATCATCGTACGGCTTCGAGACGTGACTGTTATGGGAGGAGGATCTGATACTCCTTCAGGCTTTTTATCACCGACGGCTGAGAACTAGAGCCAGAAACAGTAGACTCAGCAAATTTCCGATGAAGTGATAAGGAAACGGGTTTGTGATGAAGCGACAGGGACTTCACTCGAGGAACGATCCCGAATTGTAGGTAAAGGCTATCTGACCGTGCAGCACGCACGCTGAGTTGCGGGGTTGCCGAAGAGTGCCTAAATCGGACTGGCGGAAACCTAGAGGCAGACGGAATTTGACATGATAGAAAAGAATGAAAAATGTTGCGAAAATTCTGGGTGCTGTTGGCCTCGACGGGGAGAGCAACGTAACCCTACCCGCCCTTGGCTGGAGACACTGAAAGAAATGATGGCTAAGCGATGTCTGACTAAATGTCGCGAGTGTAGATATCCGCAGGTTTGTGAGAGCTAACCCTAGGTTCACCTTCATGTTCCACTGTTTCTTTTTTCCAATAGAAAGCTTCAGTCAAAGAAACTGACATGACTGTAGGACAGGATGACAAGTATGAACGGTGCAGCAGGCATGGTTCCCCATAAACGTCATCAAAATGGCTAGTAAGTTGGTGAAGGAAAGCTTTCAGCATTCACCACCAACGTGTGTCCGCCATCCCCTTTTCATCCTCTTCTTGGTTAACATTTTTAGCGCTGCGGTTACCTGTGGCATACGGTTTGTACGTGAAAAAAACAAACTAGGGGCCGGATGATAGGCAACAGCTCGTCTAAGGATGACCATTTTTACCCGAATTCAATAAAGCACACGAAAGATCAGTGACAATCAGCCTGAATGTACCAAATCAGAAAAGCACAAAGGTTCATGATAAAACTGGATGACACCTGGAAACCACGAAAATCCCTGTGATAGTTTGGTTCAATTGCAGACGACCCGCCTAGTAAAATTTGGGGAAAGAGGGATACAGGGAATGAACAGTGTAGTAAGCAGTAGTTCGTAGACACAGAAAAATGACGGAAAGTAAAAGTTTGGATGATACCACCCGGTGATTGTTTCTTCTTGGGTAAAATCCGAATCGGTTCATTCTGTCCGTACTAGTTTGCCTCATCCATCTCGATACCCTTGAGGGGTTGTTGTTTGTTCTTTTTACCCAAAATGTTCAACAATTCCTTGTTCATGTAGTAGGGTTTCTCGGGAGAACCATCGTTGGTTTCCAAATCTTCCACTGCAAACGGAAAGTATCAGAAACCAATGAAATAACTGCATGATCGAACACTTACAAAGAGCTAGAAGATACAGTGATTTTGTGAAAAGTGTATAAAGTAGAGGCCATTCGCCTGGAAGTGTTATGGTTCATAGATCAACAATATCTGGAAGTGAGACGTACTTGTTTATCCAAATACCATCACATAACGTGCATGTAGATGTGTGCACAGCGGAATTTCGTTTGTCTACGATTTTTTCAAAATTCATGATGGACCTGATATGTTATTAGTTCGGAGTTATCGAACAAAAGCAGGGATTATTTTTTCTGAGTGTCGCAAACGCCGGCGAGATTTTTTATGAGCTTATCAAAATGTTTGATCTATGGTGCAAAGAAAACAATAACTTTCCGATTCCTAAGGTCTGTTGAATTACGAATCAGGTTTGAAAACTGCAGAATGTAACTAAGGTAACATCTTAAAAGCGTATGACCAGCTTCCTCTCATCATAATTGTTAGAACTGGGCGAGCTAACGACAGCGAAGTGTGACTATCCCTACTCTATTCTGTTACACCGAAGAAAATTTGCTACACCTTCGCAAAATACACGGTGGTTATCTTGAAACACAAACAATAAAATCAAGCGGAAAAAATCGGTATGGAAAGAAACACTAAAAACCACAAAGACATCTCTGAGCCTTGTAGGCCTCAGTCGCCTGGCCCTCACTAAGTGAAATCACGGAAGACAAAAAACATCCCTTGGTCAATTTCAACGCAGCTAGTTTCATTGCGCGCCATACATCACTTAGAGTAATGCTGTTGTGACAACGCCAGTGTAGCTACCCTGAGATGTAACCTAAGCTTCTAACTAGCTAGCTGTTGTTGTGATCAAAATCTTGTAAACGAATACACGACTATATTTGAGACTCGGTGCAATAAACTGCACGACAGACAACACACCACCTGCGTGCAACTCTTGATCCAGCACACAAAGGTGTCCATCTTCAGTGGGTTCGTTGAAAAAAAAACCACTGACATAGGGGCAGGGAAAGCATTTCCACACATTCCGAACACACACGGCTCGTTCGTGGAATGTCCAAATGGAGGAAATGACCCAGCGACGTTTGCTTGCTCCGTAAAAACAAAAATACTTGGGGTACTTCAACATGTCTGGTAAAATTATACCCTCTCTCAAAAAGTACTTTTATGTCACGGTTTAGTATTTTATGGAAACTTATCCAACAAGCCTATTTAAAAACAACCCCCTTATCTTTAATTAATGTTCGGTTGTGTATCGAGAGCGAACCTCATGGTTTATACAGAAGCTAATACCTCTTCATGTCGGTTAACCAGAGGTGCATTCAATATGTCCAATTCGTTCAAACGATGTCCACATGAGAAATAGGAAACAGTCTCTTCTGAATTAAAGTGATCTTTTGTTGCAGCCCATTAATTGTTTTTTTTTTGTTGGGAAGTTAACCCGCTTTCGGGAAATGAAGCAGATATACATAATCTTATGACCTTCATGGAGGAATATCCTGCTCAAATGAACTGTCTACACATGTGTAAACGTTTTGCGCCACCAACCATAGCGTTTTCGGACATACGTTATGCGGCATAACTCATACCGTGATGAACCTGTAAAAACAATCCTGTTGACCTTCTGTGTGTGTGTGTGGCTCGGATAGAGAAGATCGAGATGAGAATCACACAATGAAAACGTTTTAGGTCAATTATTCCGAAATGTTCGTACAGCCCTTAGAGCCCCGTCAACGTGGGTAAGTGGGACTAGTCCCTAAAGGTTAAACAAAAATGTCACCCAGCTCACTTGGCCTGATGAAGCTTTTAGGTCAAAAGCGAGACGTTGCCCAAATAAAAACTACTGATTGTTTATCAAACTCTTCTGAAACGAGAAAATGCCAACCGTTTCGTGAGGAACCCCATCAATATTCAAAGTTTCCACACTACCAGCACTTGCGGATTGCCACAGAAATATTTTCAACCGCGAAAACCCGCATACCGGGCTTAATTTCGATAGTCAACACCCACTTCTTGAACTGACATCCCAAGCCCGTTCAGATCACGCGGATCAAACACCTATCTCAACCGACGGTGATCCTCTGCAGCATATCTTACCCCATTATTTGGCCTTTGAACCACTAAGCAGATAATTGATGAATGTGTGGACGCCATAACTGTATGAGCACGGTCAAAACTCGGTGAGCCACTGACTCCAGTGAGCTTTCGTCGTGGTGAACGCTAGCGTACTTGTAACGAAAGGTTCAACGAGTTGCATAGTACCCATGTTGGCCAAAAATGGACCATCTGCTCAGTTACCCCGTTGGCTACTGTTTAGTTCGTTGAGCTGGAAAATTTGATCGCAAACGCTTCATCGTCATTTGAGTTAAGCTGTTAGGGAACGGAGGGCGGCGCTGAGTCAGTGGTTATGCAGAGCCACAGTAGTTACACATCTGCTATTCATCGAGAGCAGCTGCAATAAGTAACGTGACGCCTATCGACGCAGTAAGGGCAAGTGGCGACAAGAGTAACCGTTAAAAAAACGAAAAATTTTACCAGCTAAAGAGTTGGACAGGGAATGGAAGAAAAACGCACAGACGAGCAGGTTACTTACAGAAACACAGGAAGATTGTATCCACACCCATCGCATAGACACTGGCAAACAAGGAAGTGACGATATATGATCCAATTACGACAATCTGAAAGAACAGACGATGCGCTGTTAGTAAAAGTCGATAAGCGGTCGGAATGAACTCAACAAAAAGTCAAATCCAGGACAACATACAGCACTAAGGGATGATTTCGCCGTGAAGGCTTGGAATCGGGAGCAATCGGACGAGAACAACAAATAACGTGAAGAATACCTGATACTATTGCCGAAAAAAGTATTACAGAACAACTGTTGGTACAACAGTTGGCAACCACATGTGAACAATTGAAACCAGGGCACATTTTCCAGGTAAGCAAACATGTATTTGTTTATCTCGCACAACTCGGACTGACAACAGACATTCCGTTATCGAGGGTGGTCTCGGGTCAGGAAGAAGGAACAGCGATAAAGAAGAAAAGTATTGGTTTTTTGAACAGCACTCTTTTCTGGTGTAGATTAGATGTTTAGTGAACACGTTAAGCTATCAGTATCCTGATAGCGTATCCTATCCGGCAGATAGTTTGTCAGATCCTGCTGACGAGTAGTAGTGCCTTCAGCTATGCAATTAGTTGGGAGGACCCCTAGTTCGGATGTCGTTGTGACGGCCATATGGTAGCAGTTATTGGTGAACGACACTATTAAACCGAGTGGATCAGGTGTGAACTCACTGTTGTTGCCCGCTCTAAAACGTCAGACGCTACAATCGCTAATGTCAGCGATTGTGCGCTAATCATTGGGCAATAGAGTAAACAAAAGAAGAACGTGGAAAGACAAAATAATTCACATCCAACCTTCAGTTGCAAACGAAGAATGACGGACAAAAACGGAGCAAGCACTAATCAAAAGATTAGAAACTCAGTTTATTATTTTTTTTAAAAAACCACAGACATGCACAAGGCTGCCATCTGCTGAGAGGGATACATGAGGGCCAACTGAGTTCATGGAAACGGAAAAGCCAGAAACGATAAGTTCAGCGAAGTTAAGTATCCCTGAGTTATTATTGCGAAGAATGAATTTGAACGCAAACTGCAAGTTTGGCCGGTGGCCGGTCTCGGGAATGAATGTTCATCGATGAATTCACCGTTCCATTTGTGGTTTGGCTAGTGGAATACGTAAACACTTGCCCGTAAGGCCTGGGCTGGCCGGTGGCCGGTCTCGGGAATGAATGTCCATCGATGAATTCCCCGTTCCATTTGTGGTTTGGCTAGTCGAATACGTAAACAATCGCCCGTAAGGCCTGGGTAAGTGGACCTGCAGTCACAGGAGGATTTCTAAACGCAATGTGTAGTGCCAGAGATAGATGCCAGCTTCCTGACGAGTGGAGGAGTAGATGAACTAAAAGTGCCGACCCAATCTACCTCTAAGATGCGCAAACGGTCGCCGTGAGCTGCTCCGCAGTCGTAATACTCTATTTCCTCCCGAAAGTATCTGAGCGTCAGCTGATTTATCCAAGAGCAAGCATATGTTTGGCACCATAGACCGGACAGTTTCGTTGGGTTCGATAGAATGTCCTGACAAGCGATTTGGAAGTAGTCTGTGCGCGAGGTATTATTGTAGTTTACAATATTCTCCGAGGCTATCCGAAGTGAACCGTCGCACAGAGTTCATCCAATTGCCTGGTTAAACTTCAGTGCCACAAAACTGGTAACCTGTAGATAACGTCCACCTCGGTTTCTCAGTAATTGATGTTCTCAGATTACCACTCGAAGGCTTCAATGCGTAGACACTCAAGAGCATCAGACAATTTTCTCATAAGTGGTTTTAGTTAACGGTATTCAGAGAACCCAAGAACTCCTAAATTGCCGGGCGTACGACGAGAGAACAAACAGTATCGTTTACGTAACTTTTACACAGCGTAACAGTAACCATTAGGATACAAGATTTTCGAACTTAGTAGAGATTTCATCTTGCAAGTAAGTTTGCCTTGGACGAAAGGTCGAGAAGCTGCGTACTCTTACTCCGTTAGTAAGCACCAGCAGCTCATGTTCCAAGAAATTCTGAAGATTCTTGGACTCATGACCTCCTGGCCACTACTTGAAGACATTACGTTCGGCCGGGAGTGGCTGATGGGCAGAGTGACTAACTCGCACTTAGAGAGGATACAATGACACTCAGTCCCATAGACATGCAAGTAACAACTTATGGTCACGTGAAACAGTTGTACAGGGCTCAGCATGGACTCAGCGTTGTGACTGCTTTTTACGCATTAGTCGCCTGATCATTTTCACAACCAAGATCAATGACCTTTAGAAAAAATTATTGCACATGTGCAAGTATTTGGGCATATGTAGCAATTTTCAGTCCACTAATCAAGCACACCCCACAATAGATAGTACTGTCGTTAGGATCGTACTTATCGTTTGGTTCGAAAATTTCTCAATACTTGCATCGGACACTTGGCTTATTAAAGCTCGGTATCCCTCCTCTGAGGAAGGGAGACCTTATATCCAAACGTTTCCATATTCCCCAGAAACCCTCATGCAGTTTTATGAAAGTGTGCTGTACTGGCTTTGACGAGTTGAACTGCGTACATTATTTACTGGAAAACATGGAAATTTCATTAATGGAGCAAATGCCCCTTGATTAGTTAGCAATTAGACTGGATAAGGTGCCATTCATTCTTAATCACAGGAGAGACCTTATATCCAAACGTTTCCATATTCCCCAGAAACCCTCATGCAGTTTTATGAAAGTGTGCTGTACTGGCTTTGACGAGTTGAACTGCGTACATTATTTACTGGAAAACATGGAAATCTCACTAATGGAGCAAGTGCCCCTTGATTAGTTAGCAATTAGACTGGATAAGGTGCCATTCATTCTTCAATCACAGGATCCACATCACGTAGTCTTGACTGGTCCCTCGATTAACGAATTCTAAGGTGAAATGTTCACTCATTGTGCAAATTGTTCCTCCCCTTGAACTACTTATACTTTATGGGTAGCACGAACAGACTCGTGAGATGCACACTGCCAATGATTTCTAATAGCGTTTACACCATCGTGATCGTCACTGACAGGAATACACCAATACATGCTGGGCTCAGTTCCCATATGTCACAACGCCATTGCCGAAGTGGCACAAATTCACTTTTATGTATAAAGTTCATGGCTGCGCGTGGGTTGAGATACTGACAGGACGCCCAAACATACACAGGAGGACGGTTACGGTAGTCAAAGAACGCCTTTGGCTCAAATGTCTGACGGAAAAGCAGCGGCAGTCGACTCGAGACTGATCAAGTAGATGCAGAAACAAATTACCATACTTGTTCTGCAACCTAGAGGGGCCAGAAGGCTATGTTTGTCAGATCCTGATAACAGGCCCTCTGTGGATGTTGAATGGACATCCTCAAACACAGACCGATGGAGTACCAAGCTGCGCAAACAATAACACAAGGTTAAGGTCAACCATATTCGTGATGGCCTCATTGTGAAGAGAAGGGAATTAGTGCTAGCCCACCACAATCACTCCGAGATGCCTAAACCTCCAGACACCCATTCGGGCAATCTGGATAGAAAATAACATCGATGAGCACATATATCTCGCAGCGTGTAGTGCCGACACATTTTCTACAAGGACAAACCTCATAGGTACGCCAAACTTATGCACCTCTGGGAGTCTATAGAGTTCAGGCATGCCACCTCCCAAGTCGTTTATCATTCAGTAACTTTGGTGGAGCCACCTTTGTGTTATAGATCTCCTGAGTCTGTAGAACAGGCTGCTTGTCGTTGGGTTCGCGAACACTGTAAGAGTCTACTTCACGTCATACCGAATGAAGCTGAAGAGTCGAATAGATGAGTCCAGTATGATGACACCCGCTTGCTTAACTTTACTGTGGTCAAGATCTGGTGAAAATCCTTACTTTATGTATGCTACGGGCCAGCCGCAACTACCAAGAAAATTCCTCATCCTTGCCCGTTCGCTATACTTTAACTGGAAATTAAAAATTAACAAATAAACCAACATTTGTTGGGTTTGTCCGCTAATTAACGACACTCAAAGATCTTCATACGATTACCGTTATGTTTGTTGCACATGTCTGATTAGATACACTAACCCATCACTTTGTTCCTCACAGTGACTGATACATTGACTACAACATTTCACAGCTCAGTGAATCACTACCGCCTGGTATTACCGACTGCATACTCCTCATGTTTTGTGAGACCGACTGGCTACACGGAATCGCCGTACGGCACCAAGTTCCGAGTAATTCAAACGGCAAATTTCGACTAACTACAACAGTGAGGAGAGTGGGTGTACAGAGAAATTAAAGAACGAATCAACACAAATGACCTAAACATTTAACGAATATCCACTAGTTACTCTAACGACGGTGCATTGGAATACGTTAACAGGAAATTGTGCCAATGGCAACTTTCGAGTCAGTTCTACGGAAATTATATTCGACTGATGTTCTCGATCGTTTAGCAACGCTTACCAGCAATGAGCCATGGTGATGTAAGTTCTGGTGAGCTTTGAGGTTGATAAAATAGCACAAAATGTTACTACTCAAGAAGATTACAGTAGTGACAATAAAAACGGATAAACTCACAAGCACCGGCACAGCGATGTAGTGCAGCTCAGGTGCCATATCCGCAAATGGTGTATCCGCGAAAATAACACCATTCAGATACAGGTAGGCCAAAGCAGCTATGAATAGAACAAATGCGGCCGATTAGAGGTAGACCAGAAGCTCGTGAATTTAGAGATTTGGCCGTTACTGACAGAGAAATACAAACCGAAAGACTAACTGAGATACGCCTGTATTGATCCACGATAGATGGTCGTGAGAACTTTGACCCCAAAAACAAGGTACTATTTCGGAGGTCTTGGTCGGTAGATGAAGTGAGATTCATCAGTGTCTATTGACGTAAGAGCTGACAAGGTAGGCGGTCAACGCTGTCGTGAAGAAAAGTACTCCACCAAAACCAACGGGAGCATTGAGCGGCTCGTAAGTCCAAGGCCACGAGGTGGATCGCCAATCGACTCTTAGAACCCTATCCTTATTTTGCATACTTGGAGTCCCTATTTTATTATGCTTACGCCTAATTATCTTTCTTATTTTACCTTGTCTTGTTGTGTTGCACGTATATTTCATGCAGATGTCTGTGGATTGCCACTCTGAATATCGGTTGTTGATGAGGGGGCTGTTGATCTCTTCCCCGAGCTTGGCGATTGGCTTGCAAACGTCTCGTCACCATACGAGGGGGTATCATCAGCGCGCAGCCACCTGATATACAACCAATAAACTCACCCGAGCTACCAATAAATCAACTACCAATATTACCAACTCTGGATATCCCCAGTACTACATGTTTCATTCTGCGAGCACGTTTGTACAGATCAGATTGATTGTTGATTTTCAGCACCGAACTGGTTGGTCGGCGGGTCCGACTCTCAATAGCAACGGGCCACATCAATTAGCTAGAAAATACTTCCGAAGATTGTCGGATTAAGTAAATTGCAATGAGTGTCTGAAATTCGGTGTTCGATGGGATTAAAAGACTATTATTTGAGGAAAACTACTTAAGACTATAGACTTTTATTTTAATTGTTATTGTCGGCTCAACAAGACTAACATTACCAGGAGTAATAATACTTATAATAATAACTAACCCGCTTGAATAATGGTAAAAGCGAAACAAACGTATTTGTAATGCACTACCCATAAGGTTGCTAAAATCTTCGCAACAGCCCACGACCGGTTTCGCCCTTCTTGAGGCTCATCAGCTAGGCGCAGTCCCCGAGTTTCCGTCAACCTTATGTTCTACTTGAAACCAAATTGCACGAAATTAGCGAAATACACTCATTTGCAAACTAATTTGGTTTTGTGAGATACTCACCCGGAACCCAGCTAATTCTCTAGGTTTGGATGTTTCAGGGGATTTGAATGTGCTGCACCAGGCCGCCTCATGTTTCAGTCACTACGATATTCGAGATATCGCGATATATATGTATATATATAATGCACTACTCATAAGGTTGCTGAAACATAGTATTGTCATGCTAATAGTTTGTGGTGATTATTCGTTGAAGTGAAAGAGCACCTTTAAGCAGTGAAGCAATCAAAGTCAGCATATCAATTCGTCAATCAATTCGATAAATGTCTGTGGCAACGGTATATAGGGATGGTGGAAATGAACTCAGACTGGCACGTTCCAGTGAAGGTGAAACCAGAGCGCACCGATAATGACATCCACCAGTTTTGTGACCACTATCCACAATTCTGGATTGTAAACAATCGACTGGTCAAACATGCACTTCTTTATTTGGCAGGAATATTCATGGGGAAATACCGTCTTATGCGGTGTGTAAGCCCAATTGTTTTGTTCGTTTCATATGCAACAAGCATCGCGTCCTGATTCCAGCCGGTCAAAAGGGATGGGAGTTCTGTGGCTTGGCTCATCCACACGAAGAAACAAGATCAAAAGTAACTGAATCAGATCGCTGGGTGAAGGCGGGAATAGCCCGTAAGGAGTTATGGTTTACCGAGAATCAACTGAATTTCGAGTGACAGTTGAGTGGGGACCGTCACTTTGAGGCTACAACAGTTGGATTTGTGAAGCTTTGAGAAGTTAATTTGCTTTGAACTTTGAGACAGCCATATATAAGGACCGAGTACCCATACTGAGTCTTCAAGGCGTGAAACACAAAGCGAAAGGGATAATTTCAAACACAGATACTGGCAAAGGCCAGATCATGGAGCACAGAGTTCAAAACCATTCAAGCGACCTGTTTTCCTGTTACAAGACATGTCACAATCAATCAATAACGACTGGAACGTTTCGTCAGACCATCGCCATCAGGTTCAAGAACCACGTACTTGTTGTACAGTGGTTGTAGCTGTCACAGTTTTGTTCGCAGATATGTACTTCTGACGGATGGACTGAGAAAGGTGGCAGTACATTAGCCAGCACAAACTCGGATGACAGATCTATGCTTTCGGGAGATAATCCCCGTTATTTTAATAAATGCTAGAGATGTTAATAAGCGCATCACAAAAAGTGGCTGAATATGCCCGTGGTAGTCATGAGAACGAAGAAGATAGTGAACAAAGCATGTTTCTGTGATTGCTCCTCTTGGCAAATACATCAGAAATTTATATGGTACCAGAAATCACGTAGAAAAGTTAAGATCGGGGGTACATAGACTTGAACTGGCCTACGAAACATCCAGTCCCACAAGTTTGTCTGACATTGACGTCACTTACCTGATTCCGTGACCCATTGATCTATCCCTCATTCAACCCACCATCCCATTGATTTATATTTCTCTAAAGTATAATTACCCCCGATCTTAACCTTTTCCACGTGATTTCTGGTACCATATAAATTTGTGATGTATTAGCAAAGAGGAACGATCACTGGAAACAAGCTTTGTTCGCCACCTTAGTTCGCACCACAAAAAGTTAACGCAGGTGATGAAAAAGAACACGCACACGAAGAACGAAACAACTGGGATGACAAGAAGTTGCTTAACCACAGATATCATGTCAAAGGACTGCGGTAAAAAGTACCAGAGGATTATGTTGTAAACAACTATCAGAGTACTTAGTGTACCATTTCAAGTCCAATGAATAAGGAAAGGGTGCGCGGGATAAATCAACAAGAAGGACAGAGGAGATTCCCTTAAGATACTAGTAAACGTTTGGGAAGCAAAGTTCAATTAATTTGAGCATTTGGAACGCCCTTGAGTAACTCCTGTCACAGAGTTAGCGCCACTTGGTCAAGTGAATAAGGTCGTGGAACTGGACGATCTCGGCTAGTTAACCCGTGGGTGCCGCCAAATAAACTTTGCGCTCCTGTCTTAATTACCGGCACGACTGATGTCTCAGAGAAACAAGATGCAGGTTCGAGTCAAGGAGGTGAGAACACAAATGCAAAGAAGCCGGAAACACTAACTCACCACTGATGACGATCACGACTAGCTTGCCAACGAATAGAAGGAAGTCTGTAACTTTGTCGACCACGAACACTCTGAAAGTGAAGGAATGAATTAGCATAAGAAATGTGTGACCACACAAGGCAAGTGTGCCAGTCAAGAGGACACGAACCTGACGAGGTTCCTCGCAAGCAGGTTGAACGCTGTTCGAGCAGCCGAGCAAAAGTTTTGTCCATGAATAGCAATCTGTAGAAGCGATGCGGAAAAAAGCGGATGAGGTAGCATACAAAAGCGTCTACAGGGGCAAAAACAACTGACAACACGTTGCACACTCGAGACACCAAGTCAGTTGACCCGAACAGTGCGAGCATAAGCGATACGGTCCGCGGAATCAGCACGCAGCCTAGCGTGAATCCAAATGTGTGACATGAAAACAACAATAACAACAACAACAGCGATCGGCGTCGTCGGCGCGATGAATGTAAATCAGTCTAGTTTTTCGAGATTTGTGCTTAGCATAGAACATGAGATTAGAACTGGATGTTGGCCATTAACGGCAGCGATGCACAAACTAGGTAACATGCTAAACATGGTCCATAGTATGCTACTAACCGTGATATGTAGTGAGCACAGTGTGCAACAGAGGCTGTGTTCAATACCCAGCGCATAGCAAGCAGCTGCTCATTTGAATAGAGAAAAGCGCCCGTCAGAGAAAACTAGCGATAATCAAGAATATTGCAGCATGTGGTATCAAAGAAAGCTGATGTAGGAGGGTATAGGTATGGTTGATTTTCAACAGTTCGACGGCAATAGAGAGAGTTAAATGGCTTGGTGTATACTCATCCACCGCGCCATGGCAATTAAACAGTTAACGTTCGAGTCTGTCTTTGTAAACAATCCATTGTTCTGTGGCTCGAACGCAACGGCATGCAATGCTGATGATCCATCGTTGGTTCAGAGCAGCTGTCTACGGCTTCACTAGTTAGAATGGAGGAAAACGCCGTAAAAATAGCTTCTAACATGTATACCAACAAACAAACATTTGCTTCTAACCAGTCTGAGATCAAAAGGGGTGATGAACTGCGTACCAGGACATTGTTCAGAACCAACGCTATGTCCATTCTCTTTCGCTTCCCGTGTATACTGGATGAATGATAATCGTGAACTAGCACTGAAGTGTTGCAGCGATGTAGAACCTATCCGTCACATGCAGGCCAGCTTCACGCTGTTGACAGAGGTGTATAGCTTGCAGAAAAGCAGAGTGGACTTGTGTGACCTTGACATGTGCTAAGCTGACAATACTCGTTATACACTCAATCGTGCAAACAGCACGAGTACTTAGGACGCCATGAATGAGTTTGGTAGTGTTCGGTCAGACGTAGTAAAAAGAAGATATAGCAGTCAGGACCAGTTCGACTGTGATCCTTTTCGACTGTATCAGATAAAGATCGCAGACTGATTTTCGACTACTCGAATGTCCTCACAGGAATACCGAAGTTGCGTTTGTCAACTTTCCCACCCATGGTATTATGTTAATGGCCTTCTTCAGGGTCTTACACCAGATTAAGGAAATGACGATGATTCTCGATATCTCAATATCATATTCCGATATATTGTCTGATCTCTTTTATTCAATTTGTTCTTGATTGGATTTTGTCACACGGTTGCGATGATTTCCATTGTGCACTGAAGTGAATAGTTTTCCTGGGCTTTAGAGTTCCTCTTAAACGCACGCAAACAAGCAGCAAAAAGGGGGATCACCATCCACCGGACACGCAGTTCAGTGAAGGATTGGCGAAAAGTGCCTTTATCGAGTGAACTCCACAAGAGGGCTAATCTGCTTTTAGTTCCAAAACAGTAGTACAACCGTCTATAGGTGTCCGATTCCGTTCAGCACAAAAACCGACCAACCAAAGCCCAGTTGAAATAAAAGCCAAACTGACCATGATGAACGCGTTACGGTTAAGGAAACGGATGAACCTCTCCAGACACCAGAGGAAGCAACAACAGCATCGCGAACAGATGCGCGTACATCCATTGTCGAACTTTTTCAGTTTGGCATCAAGATACTCCAGAAGTAGACGCAGCCACTGAAATAGAGCCAAAAGAAGCGAACCCAGTGCCAGTGAACCAATGTGGAAGACCGCAGCTCGATAGAAACTCTGGAGCAATGGACACTTGGGCATGGCATTCGGGTCACTGCGCGAGTAGTAAAAGTGAGCGAAGGTACCGGCCAAGGTCATCTCTGCCAGAGATCGGACGAAGTTGACGAGCCAAAAAAACATGAAGACATTGAATAATTGCAAGAAAATTGTATACCTGTGCAAGAAAGAGGGCAGCAGAGAAGACGTAGTGAATAAATGTGAAGCTCGGGACAAGCGAGCGTGACAAATTTATTGATTTTACTCCCCAAATCCCCGAAAGACTTTTTCCTTGATGGACTTGTACAACTTTTGAATGATATTCTTTGCGAACCGTCTTCTTTTCTGAACGTTCGCTACAACTGCTTGAAGCTGGTTGGATCGGACAGTGATGACTGTCTCACGTATGCAAGCGTAGTGAACTGTCAGTGTGAAAGATTCAAACTCAGTGATCGAATTTAATAAACCCGCGAAGTTCTTCAAAAGGGCGACGTCCAAAACCAGACTGAACCATTGTGCTGTTTAAAAGTATGCGTAAACAGCGTCCATAGTGTCTCATCCAATGGAAAGCTTGTTCGATGAGCGCAGAATCGAGGGTTTCAGTACCGCTTCAGTGTCCCTCAGCATCTTAGTAAGCACATGGGTTCCTGATCAATAAAGAAGTTCTGAATTCCCATTCCTTCGAAAGAAAAAAACATTTCTGTTTGCTTTCGACACTCAAAAATACATTACTCCACTATACAAGCCGTAAAATCTGGCTACCAAGAATTTACAAAAACGGATTGCATAAATCAGCGAATTGTTTGCACATTAGAATTAGACACAAAAGTAGAAGATTCTAACTACACTCTCGATTATAGTGCTATATGGCTGAATGCACAGGGCAAAACATGTCTCAGGTCTGAGTTAAGTCGACACTACCAATATCGAAATTATTTCGTGTAGCGAATGAAAAGATTGATCGCCGACTTCGACCCATTTAATTGCATCCGGTAGGTGTAGTCATCGCTATTCTAGTTGAATATAGGACTGTACTTAAGCCAAATATATAACCACGCCACTTGGACGTTGGAGTGAAGTCAAAAAGTAAACGAACCTGATGAAGATTTAGTCTCTGGGAGGGGGACAAGTTAGTTTCTCCAAAAGCAATGTAACAGCAAGGCAATCAAGTAGAATAGTAAAGTATAGCGATAAACCGATAATTTAGGCAAGCTGGGTAAAAAAAATTAAACACTCCCGAGAAACTGTGGGTTGGTGCAGATCAGGTGAGGATCTGTCTATATCCCGAGACAGACGAAAATTGATAATCAACCAGAACCAAACAAATGCGGCTTCATTTGGTACTGGTGTGGGTTGGGAGCATTCAGCTGGGTATAAACAGAGTAAACTAGACAAGTAAGCTTCCCATCCCACAGGTTGGTAAGGAAATGTGATAAGGTACAATAAAGTAGACAAAAATATTCGGTCTCATTATCGTCAGTGTCGTCTGAAGCTCTCCTGCGCAGACATCACCTGTGGCTTTCGAACATTCGAGTACGAAGGCAAGTATCAGGCAGACCAAATGCTTGATAACCAGACAACTGTTCACTGAACAGCTGTCACTTAACGATCTGTCCCGTCACTTCACCAAGAATGATCACATGTCCGTAGGGTGAAAACTCAGTTCGAGACAACACGAATCCGATTTGAAGTATGAATCATAATCACTAAGCTTGCAACCGGAAAGTGATGTATACAGTAAGTGCATGTGGTATTTGTAGGATGGTTGGGACGTTCGGAGTCGACATCTTCTCTAATAAAGGCTTCACTGGTCTCCAGTTGCACTGGATTTGAAAGCTGCTTTTGATTCTGTCGATCGTCAGCAACTTTGGCAGTGTCTGGCGACCAAAGCTGTCCCTTCCAAATTTCTCTCCCTGTATGCGAACTCGTGTGGGCGCGTACCAGTATAAGGGAAGCTCTCGCATGAGTTCCCCACGTCCAGTGGCGTAAGAAAAGGTTGTCCTCTTTCCCCTTCCCTCTTTAGCTTTTTTATTGATACGCTACTTGAAATTACTCTGCCTGCGTATAAAATCCTGAGAGTCGAAGTGCTCCCGGGACATTGCCTCACAGACATTGAGTATGCAGACGATATTTCTCTCCTTGGTTCAGATTCTCCCCAAATGCAAACGGTTTTAAATAACCTTTGCTGCACGGTTTGGCATGCGCTTCACACCTGCAAAAGTGTAAAGTGCTGCTACAAGACTGGGTAGGATCAAACCCACGTCTCATGCTTGTAGGTGAGCCAATCGACGTGGTAGATAAATTTGTTTACCTGGGCAGCTGTATGAGTTACGGTAGACTGGCTGGAGATGAGATTACTTCTCGAATCGGAAAGGCCAGAGCAGCTTTTGCCAACCTCCGACACCTATGGGGCCGACGTGAGGTGAGCTTGTCTGTCAAGGGAAGAGTTTACACTGCTTTGGTGCGATCCATACTGTTTTATGGATCAGAGACGGCGCCTCTAGGCGCAGAAGACATTCGGAAGATGTCAGTGCTTGGTCATCGGCGTCTCTGCAGCATTGGTCAGGTCCGGTGGGAACATCGGATTGGTAATGCTGAGGTATACCAGATTGTCTTAGAAAGAAGGAACTCTCCCGCGATAGATGAATTACTCACGCTTCATAGGCCGCGCTAATTAGGACATGTACTCCGCACGCCAGATCGTCTGCCCCGCACAGCACTTTTTCCCAGCCATGTGCTGAATGGAAGCGACCGAGAGGTGGACAGTGTATGACCTGGCAACGAAGTACCAAAACACTAACCAGTAAACTTAGTCGGGTGGGCAAATGCCGCCTGCCTGGATGAGGACCCCGAGACTCAAATCACCAGTGGTTAATGACATTGGCAGGAGTGACCCAATCGTTCACTCAGTATCGCTCGTGAATCAAAGCTATCGCCTTCAAGTCGTAGCTACCCAATTTCCGAACAAACGGAAAGTGCCTTCGCCTGCAAGACTTGGTTTTATATTCTACATTCCCGTTTTCCGGCGATCGAAACTGTAGCAACTGGAACCAATGTGCCTATGGCACATTGATTGATTGATCGATTGAGTTGCACTGAACTAGCTGGGATGACCTTAGAGAACGACATCTAGTGACGCTTGTTCTTCCCGACCATGTAACGGAAAAAGTCAATGATTCGGATAAGAATCGGACACTACTGTACACGCACGAGGCATGCGATGATACACGCCTGCGACTCATGATTCCGCCGCACAGCGTGAGCCTTGTGCTACATTCAGCCATATTAAATCCAAACAATCATGAATTAGATGCCTACTAAACAACAAGAGTCGGTATTTCACCGTATCTTACGCTCGGTGTTTTGCGATTTATGGAGTGTTATGTTGCAGTATATACTAACAAATTGTATTATGTTCATCTGTTTATACGATTCTACAAAGAATCGTAAACTCACACATCATATTACCAGCTCCAATAGGCTTAATCAAAACCGCACTACTACATGGGCCGAGAATTCTCACAGGAGTTTGACACCATTACGTTACAATCCTCTGAATCCCTTTCAGCGATGCACTGCCTTAATCGATCAAAAGCAAATAAGCTTGCCTACAAGGTGCGAGGTGCGTATAACACGGAGCCGGTTGAATAGGACGAAACGGGAAACATGAAGAGGTGACCCGTAAGTCAAATGGATATCGTGATACTGTACTTTGACGTGAGCAACTGCATTGCGCCTTTCGGTCGTCCCAACACAGGGCAGATGATAGTTCACGTAAACATGTATACCACCAAACAAACATTTGCTTCTAACCAGTCTGAGATCTAAAGGGGTGATGAACTGCGTACCAGGACATTGTTCAGAACCAACGCTATGTCCATTCTCTTTCGCTTCCCGTGTATACTGGATGAATGATAATCGTGAACTAGCACTGAAGTGTTGCAGCGATGTAGAACCTATCCGTCACATGCAGGCCAGCTTCACGCTGTTGACAGAGGTGTATAGCTTGCAGAAAAGCAGAGTGGACTTGTGTGACCTTGACATGTGCTAAGCTGACAATACTCGTTATACACTCAATCGTGCAAACAGCACGAGTACTTAGGACGCCATGAATGAGTTTGGTAGTGTTCGGTCAGACGTAGTAAAAAGAAGATATAGCAGTCAGGACCAGTTCGACTGTGATCCTTTTCGACTGTATCAGATAAAGATCGCAGACTGATTTTCGACTACTCGAATGTCCTCACAGGAATACCGAAGTTGCGTTTGTCAACTTTCCCACCCATGGTATTATGTTAATGGCCTTCTTCAGGGTCTTACACCAGATTAAGGAAATGACGATGATTCTCGATATCTCAATATCATATTCCGATATATTGTCTGACCTCTTTTATTCAATTTGTTCTTGATTGGATTTTGTCACACGGTTGCGATGATTTCCATTGTGCACTGAAGTGAATAGTTTTCCTGGGCTTTAGAGGTCCTCTTAAACGACCTACGCAAACATTATGTAGGGTTCACTCTCAAACAAGGCAAGAGTTTGTTCACCTTTATCCCATTTTCGACTCGTCTCTGATTCATCTTCGTTGAAAACCGTATAGTATCACGTTTAAACTCAGCTGACCTGAAACTGCCTCCATACGTTTGTCAGACTCAACAAGGAGGGGAACGGGACGGACTTTCTCTTAGATAAACAAAGTTATATTGCCTGTGACGAGAAAATGCACATCACTGGGTCCACAGCGTCTCGTGTACCAGGATAAAGTAAC